CCACAAAGCTGTATAAATGGTAGACAGTCAAGAAATGATTTATTGATTGATTTGAAAATACTTGCTCAATACTCTAGAATTTTACTTGACAATTAAAAGAGCTGGATTAGCCCTGGCCAGTTTGGCTCAGCGGTTAGAGCATCAGCCTGCGGTCCAGAGAGACCCAGGTTGGGTTCCCGCTAAGGGCACGTAACCTCGGTTGCAGTTTGTCCCCGGCCCTGGTTGGGTCGTGCAGGTGGCAGCCACTCAGTGTGTCCCTCTCATGTCCATGTTTCTCTCTCTCTCTCTCTCCCTCTCTCTCCTTCCTGCTCTGTCTGAACAAAAAATAGAAAAAAAAAATGTCCTTGGGTGAGGATAAAAAAAAAAAAAGCTGGATTATATTTTTTAAATGTCATATTTATAACCCAAAGCTATAGAGTCAATTCAGGTTTATCCCTAAGCAGAATCACTCAACTATTTGGCACCTCAACAACACCTTTTTCTTGAGTACCTACTATATGCTAGGTAAATGTTAGTCAATAGGATTACACTAGTAAATAAGATGGTTAAAGTCCCTGCTCTCAAGGGTCAGTCTGGTGGTGGAGAAAGCCAAAGAGCAAATGGCAAATACATATGTACAGATCATGATAAGTCCATGAAGGAAATTCACCAGGTGCTAAAAAGAGTTTGATGGGAAGACCTAAGAAGTGAGTAAGGTCAGTGAAGGCCTCTCAGAGGAGGCAACAGAAATTTGTGACATGAAATATCTTGCTCCCCTCCATTTCTACGTATTACAGCCAGACTACCCAAATTCAGGTGTGAAAATTTACCTTTTTAGGCACTAATTAATTTTGTATCATGATAATCTCAAATTTTTGATAGTATGAGTAAACTGAGCATTTGCATGTAGTCAGCTGTCTAAAACACATAATAAACATATAATTTATAACTATAATTAATTGAACTTCTTGTTAGTGTGAAAACATACCAATAGTAGGATCATGTCTTACATATTCTATATTCATGTGACAAAGTACCATATATTAATAAAGATATTAATTGACTTATCCAGATTTTTTTCTTTTTGGTTTTTCTAATGGTTGGAAATTTATTTAATTTTGATATGATGTCAACAACATCTTTTTTTTTTGTTAATCCTCACCCAGGATATTTTTCCATTGACCATATATTTATTTATTTTTAGATAGAGTGGAAGGGAGGAAGGGAGAAACATCAATGTGAAAGAGGCACATCGATTGGTTGCCTCCCACACCACCCTGATTCAGGCCAAGCATCAAACCTGCAATATCCATTTTTAAACTACTCTATGGGATTGAAGGTTATTATTTAGATAGTATTCTGGGTCAGAAAATTCATTTAAGAAAACTTTTTTTTTTTTTTAATTTAAAAATTCAGGGTAGAGAAAATAAGAAAACCTAAAAATCAGGGTTTTGTCCCACCAAAATATAGATACGTAGCTGTCCTAAAAAGAAAATATGGATTTTAGTGACTGTACAATTACAGAAGGTTATGATTTTAACAGGGTTTTGTTGTTGTTGTTTTTTTTAATAGACTTGTGAGGAAACATATCTATATTTGTTGCTCTACCAGGGGTGGGGAACCATTTTTCTGCCATGGGCCACTTGTTTGTTTGTTTGTTTGTTTTTTAATCCTCACCCGAGGACATTTTTCCATTTTTTGTTCAGGTAGAGTGGGAGGGAGAGAGAGGAAGAGAGAGAGAGAAACATCGATGTGAAGGGACACATCGAGTGGTTGCCACCCGCACAACCGACCAGGGCCGGGGCAACCGAGGTACGTGCCCTTAGCGGGAACCGAACCCGGGTCTCTCAGGACTGCAGGCCGATGCTCTAACTGCTGAGCCAAACCGGCCAGGGCTGGGCCACTTGTATAACATCATTTTCGAGCCATACAAACTTATCAATTTAAAAATTAGCCTTCTATATTTGGTCAGGCTAATTTGGTGAGGTGTGGGATGTTAGCTGGTATTGATTTTGAGGGCCTTGTACGGCCCGCCAGCCTGACTTTCCCCACCCCTTCGACAAATGGTTTGTCACAGCGCATCTCTGCACTGAGTGAGCTTGGTAGAGTGGGAAAAAAGGACAACAGAAAAAGAAAATCCTCATAATTGAAAAATTTAATAGCTTATTGAAACACACTATAAGCTGGGTTTTTGCTGCAGTAGTGAGTCAGATAAAAATGCTTGTATTTGAAGTGCAAATGAGAGAAAATCAGAAAATTTAAAAAACACGCAATATTTTTTCTTTCTAGGTTGATGATAGTCTTTTTATGAGAAATCTTAATTAAACTGATACATTTTCTATGTTGCTTATTTGAGGATGTGTTGTATTTTTACAAAAAAAAAAAAGATAAATTATCTCCTCTTACTTTTTCAAAATGACATGATAGTTCATTTAGGATGCTTCTGAAAATTTATGTCTTCCTTAAATACACACACAGGAATTAATCAAGCCTGAGCTGGGAATTGAGAAGGCCAAGGAAGAGAAAACAAAACTAAAAATAACAAATACACTTTTTATGGATTTTAACCATTTTCTTTTGTATGTATACAGTTTCTCTAGCAAAATCTGATTACAGGTTGTGGAGGCTTCATTGGGTCTAGACGCTCACAGGGCTTGAAATCAATTTGGTGTACACTATTTTAGTGGTTATCAGAGAACTTGCAAACTAACTGACCCACCTTAATGCAAAATAATGAAAAAGAAGAAAGGGAATAGTTTTGCCTGGCTGGTGTGGCTCAGTGGTTGAGCGTCGACCCATGCACCAAGAGGTTGCCCATTCGATTCTTGGTCAGGGCACATGCCCAGGTTGTGGGCTTGATCCCCAGTGGGGGGCATGCAGGAGGCACCCAATCCATGTTCTCTCTCATTGATGTCTCTATCTCTCTCCCTCTCCCTTCCTCTCTCTCTAAAATCAATAAAGATAAAATATTTAAAAGAAAGGGAATAGTTTCATATAAACTTGTGAATTGATCAGTAACAAGCATCATTTAAAGTTTTGGGGCTGTGTATCCCTTTTAAGTTTTAATGTATTTTTTTTATCAACCTGCATGGGCCTTTCTTTCTTTCTTTCTTTCTTTCTTTCTTTCTTTCTTTCTTTCTTTCTTTCTTTGTTTCTCTCTCTCTCTCTCTCTCTCTCTCTCTCTCTCTCTCTCCCCCCTCCCCCCACCTCTTTCCTCTTTCTTTCTTTCTTTCTTTCTTTCTTTCTTTCTTTCTTTCTTCCTCACCTGAGGACACTCTTTGCATTCATAGAGCGAGAGGGAGGAAGAGAGAGAGAGAGAAACATCGATGTGAGAGAGACACATCGAGTGGTCGCCACCACACAACCCCAACTGGGGCTGGGGACAAACTGCAACCAAGGTATGTGCCCTTAGCGGGAACCAAACCCGGTTCTCTCCAGACCGCGAGTCAACGCTCCAACAGCTGAGCCAAACCACCAGGGCTGCATGGGCCTTTCTTTGTGTACTTATTTTGAGATCTAAGAGAGAGAATGCTGATCATTCCAGATTTTAGGAAAATTCTTACTATTTGAATCATTCTCTTGACACTGTTTAGCTCTAAACTCAGATTTTCTTTTCTAAAGTTGAGTAAAGAAAATAATTTAACCTTTTCCTTGAACTTACTAGTCTCACCAGGACTAAATATTGGTTTAGGGTACCATGTATCGGATGTAGAGTCCACTGAGGTACAACTACTTGTCTTAATAGTTGGTGACTATTTTTTTTGTTAATCCTCACCCAAGGATTAACCACACCAAATTAATAAACATGGTTGTGAATGAATAAGTTACACTGCCTTCGGAGAGTGATAATCAATTCCATCTTACTATCTTGAAGTGGAGAGATGGCAGGACTTTTTTTTAATCCTCTCCCGAACATATTTTTTCCACTGATTTTTAGAGAGAATGGAAGGGAGGGAGGGAGGGGTGGAATGAGAGAGAGAAACATCAATGTGAGAGAGACACATTGATTGGTTGCCTCCTGCAGGCACCCAACCACCCCAACTAAGCCTGGGGACAGAACCTGCAATCAAGCTACGTGCCCTTGACTGGGATCAAACCCATGACCCTTCGGTGTGCAGACCGACACTCTAATCACAGAGCCACACTGGCCAGGGCTGACCCTTCCCCCTTTTGATTAACAAGAAAGCAGATCATAGTTAGATCTGATTCTAATGGCTTGTAGTTCAAAAAAGAATATGACTATAGGGTTATTTGGTGACTCTAAGACTAAGTTTTCACCATTTTCTTAAAAAAAAGTCCTCTCCCAAGGATATTTTTTCATTTATCTTCAGACAGAGTGGGAGGGAGGGAGGAAGGGGGGGAGAGAGAGAGAGAGAAAGAGAGAGAGAGAGAGAGAGAGAGACATTGATCAGGTGTCTGTGGTAAGTGCCCTGACCAGGGATCAAACCCACATTCTAGGCATGTGCCCTGACTGGGAATTGAACCCATAACCTTCCAGTGCACAGGATGATGCTCCAACCAACTGGGCAACTCGGCCAGGGCTCACCATCTTAATTACTTTTAGAACTTAATATTTTTATGCATGTTAACAAGTTTTAATCATGATATGTCAGAGCCCAAGTTCCATTTCTTATACTAAACTGACCACTGTCCATGAAGTGCTTTATTATAATTTTATTTCTGGCCAAAGAGGATGAATGATATTTTATTCAAGAACCTTTAGGACTAGAAAGACCACTTATATTTTTCTAAGTTAATAGGCCAATCCCTTATGAGAGATTTTTTGTAATGATCCTAGGAACATTTATATGGTACCTTCAATTCTGGCTGTTGTAAGTGAGGGGCTGATTTAGAAATTAAAGCTAGATTTTTCAGACTGACTTGGTATTCAATAGATATTAAAACTTTAATTAATTTTTTTTTGTGTGTTTGCTTTCCTTTGCAGGAAATTGATGCCTTGTCAAGATGATGATTAATCATTTGTATTTGGGAACAACAGAAACGGGAACCAATTACCTACCAAGGGTTTTATAAACCAGTTATATAAACTCCTATTCCATTGCTCTCATCCCCTATCTCACCTTCAAACTTGTCTTACCCATGGCATTCAGGAGGCAAGTGAAAAACTTCATGAAAAATTACTCAGATGCTGAAATAAAAGTCAGGGAAGCAACTTCTAATGATCCTTGGGGTCCTTCTAGTTCTCTGATGTTAGCTATCAGTGACCTGACTTTCAACGCGATTTCTCTCTCAGAGATTATGAATATGCTTTGGCAGAGACTAAACGACCATGGGAAGAACTGGCGCCATGTGTATAAATCCCTTATGCTAATGGATTATCTCATCAAGAATGGATCTAAGAAAGTTATTCAGCTTTGCAGAGAGGGGTTCTGTAACCTTCAAAGGCTAAAAGATTTTCAACACATAGATGAAGGTGGAAAAGACCAAGGTAACAGTAAAGAAGTTTATACATTGTGCCAATAAAGATTAGGAATTTGGGAGGGAATCAGTTTAAACCAGGAACTGGTGAAAAGGTGTTCTTATGTATGTATGTATGTATGTATGTATGTATTTATGTATTTATTTATTTATTTTTAATCCTCACTCAAGGACATTTTTGCATTTATCTTCAGATAGAACAGGAGGGAGAGAAGGGGTAAGAGAGAGAGAGACACACCGACTGGCTGCCACCCACATGACCCCAACCAGGGATGGGGACAAACTGCAACTGAGGTACATGCCCTTAGTGGGAACTGAACCCAGGACTCTGGTCCATGGGCTGACTGACGCTCTAACCGTTGAGCCATATTGGCCAGGGTGGAAAAGGGTTCTTAAACCTGTTAGCTACTTTTCCTTTGGGACAGTTGTGGCTTCCAATTTATTCCTTTGTGTTGCCTCTTGAGAGTTTAGGGAACAATATTTTGTTTTTTCCAAAAGGATGTGTAAAACTAACACTTAAGTTCAGGGTAAAATGATACCTCATAGAAAATGAGCAAAGTGAATAAAATGGGGGCATGGCATATTGGTATAATGTCATTATAAATCATAATTACAATTATATTGGAATTTAGTTATAAATGTAAGGAAATGTTTCCAAAGACCATGGAATCTTCAAAGACTAGCTAGGTTCAAGTAGTTTTAGGAATATTCAAATTTAGGTCATAAAATAATTTTGTCAAGGGTGGAAGAGGAGGTAAAGTAGGGAAAGGGTATACAGAGTACTGAGCTGAGATGATTCAGTCGTGTCTGATTTTCTTTTTTTTTTTTTCACCCTCACTCGAGGACATTTTTCGTTATTTTCTTCAGATAGAGTGGGAGGGAGAGAGAGAGAAACATCGATGTGAAAGGGACATGAGTGGTTGCCATTCGCACGTCCCAACCAGTGCCAGGGACAAACTGCAAATGAGGTACGTGCCCTTAGTGGGAACTGAACCCGGGTCTCTCTGGACCGCAGGCTGACGCTCTAACCGCTGAGCCAAACCGGCCAGGGCTAGGGTCTGATTTTCTACGGTGGTAAAAGAATCAGCTCTTCCTCCTCATCCAATATAAAATTATCATTTGTGTTTAAAGTGAATAGTCTTATGAATCATGAGACAAGGATAAAATTCAGTACAGTGTCTGTGTTAAGTATACATTTAAAAAATAGACTATTTTGACCTGGCCAGTATTGCTCAGTGGTTAGAGTATTGGTGCTCGTACCAAAGGGTTTGATTCTCGGTCAAGGGCATGCAGATTCAATCCCCAGCCCTGGTTGGGGTTGTTCAGAAGGCAAGTAATCCATGTGTCTCTCTCACATAGATGTTTCTCTCTCTTCCTCCCTCCCTCCCTTCCAATGGAAAAATATCCTTAGGTGAGGATTGACCACTGAACCAAACCAGCCAAGGCTAATTCATCCATTTAAAAATATGTATACACTTTTATGGTTTTTGGTATATTACTTTAAAACTTAAAATATATATAACATAACATTTACAATTTTAAATGTATGATTTAGAGACATTAATTACCTTCTCAATGTTGAGTATCCATCTCCACTGTTTCCAAAACATTTCTATCACCCCCAAAGAAACTCTGTGACCATTAAGCATATCTCACCTGCTCACCTCTAATCTACTTTCTGTCTATAAATTTGCCTAGTCTGGGTAGACCTCATATAAGTGTAATTGTAAAATATTTTTCCTTTTATGTCTGGTTTATTTTACTTACCATAATGTCCTCAAGGTTCATCCATGTTGTAAGATGTATCAGAATTTTATTCCTTTTTAATAGCTGATTAATATTCCATTTAATGTACATACCGACTTTGCTTATTCATTTGTTGTTGGACTCATAGGATTTTGTCCACCTTTTGGCTGTTGTGAATACTGCAACGAACACCAGCATACAAGTATCAGTTTAAGTCCCTGCTTTCAATTCTTTTGGGTGTATACTTAGGAATGGAATTGCTGCATATATGGTAATTCAGTGTTTAGCTTTTTGAGGAACTGCTAAACCGTTATTCTTAGCAGCTGCACCATTTTACATTCCCATTGTCAATGTAAGACCATTCCTGTTTCTCCACATACTTGTTATTCATCTTTTTTAAAATTATAGTTACCCTTCTTAGTGGATGTGAAGTAGTATCTCACTGTTGAGCATCTTTTCCTGTCCTTGTTGACCATTTATATCTTTGGGGAAATGTCTATTCAAATCCTTTGTCTACTTTTAACTGGGTTATTGTTTTTTATTGTTGACTTTTAAGAGTTCTTTACATAGTTTGGACACAAGACTCCTATCAGATAGGTGATTTGCAAATATCTCCTCCCATTCTTTAGGTTATCTTTTTATATTCCTGATTAAATTTTTTTTTAAATTTAATTTAATTTAATTTTATTATTATTTTTTTCCACATCTTTATTGTTGGATGTAAAATGTATTACAGATGTTCCACATTTTTCCCCCATTGATCCCCTCCTCCCCACTCCCGCCCCCCTCCCACCTTTTCCCAAACTATTGTCTGTGTCCATTGGTTATGCATATAAATTCTTTGGTTTATTTCTTCCCACCCCCCCAACCCCTTTCCCTTTGAGGTTTGTCAGTTTAGCAATGAATTTGTGCTTCTTAATCCCTTCACCTTTTTCATCCATTCCCCCAACCCCCTTCCCAACTGGCAACCAGCAAAATGTTCTCTGTATTTATGAGAATGTTCCTGTTCTTCCTGTTCATTTTGTTTGTAGATTCCATTGTTGATAGATATGTATTCATTGCCATTTTGTTTGTTCATACATTTTATCTTTTTCTTTAAAAAGACCCTTCATCATTTCATATAATAACGGTTTGGTAGTGATGAACTCCTTTAACTTTTTCTTGTCTGGGAAAGTTTTTATATGTCCATCGATTCTAAATGACAGCTTTGCAGGATAGAGTAATTTTGGTTGTAGGTTCTTGGTTTTCATCACTCTGAATATTTCTTGCCACTCCCTTCTGTCCTGCAAAGTTTCTTTTGAGAAATCAGCTGACAGCCTAATGGGAACTCCCTTGTAGGTAACTAGCTGCCTTTCTCTTGCTGCTTTTAAGATTCTCTCTTTGTCTTGAACCTTTTGCATTTTGATGATGATGTGTCTTGGTGTGGGCCTCTTGGGGTTCATCTTGTTTGGGACTCTCTTTGCTTCCTGGACTTGTATGGACATTTTTTAAATTTTTTGTTCAGATAGAGTAGGAGGGAGAGAGAGGAAGAGAGAGAGAGAGAGGAACATCGATGTGAAAGGAACACATCGATTGGCTGCCACCCACACAACCCAACCAGGGCCAGGGACAAACTGCAGGAACCGAACCTGGGTCTCTCTGGACCACAGGTCAATGCTCTAACCACTGAGCCAAACCAGCCAGAGCTTAGTGGCTTCTTTTTTTCCTTTTCTTCCCAGACTTCTTTCACAAACATGGATATCCCCTAACATCAAAGAGTAAGATCAACACTGATGCCATAACACCTGAGGAGCTGAACTGGTGTCAGATCAAGAGCCCAGCAGCCTGTGACTTTAGCCCTTCTCACTGCCTCTTCATTTCTCTTATATTTATGGCTCATGTAAATTTTTGTCTTGTTTTTGAGACTGGTGATATCTATTGCTGTGTATTTGGAGCAGAGCAGAGCAGAGGGGTACTTTGAAGCATGAACTTACTATGCCAACTTGACTAAAGTATTTTTTTTTTCTTTTGGTTACTCCTCACCTGAGGATATTTTTTCATTGACATTAGAGTGGAGGGGAGGAAGGAAGAGAGAGAGAGAGAGGGAGGGGGGAAGAGAGAGAGAGAAACATCAATGTGAGAGAAACACATCAATTATGTGCCTCCCACAGAACCCTGACAGGGGCCAGGGATTGAACCTGCAACCCAGGTATGTGCCCTTGACTGGGAGTTGAACCTGTGACCTTTCAGTCCTCAGCTAAGGCTCTAACAGTTGAGCCAAACAGGCCAGGGCTTTTTTCTTAAATTTGAAAATAACTTAATCAATATATTTGGATACTTCTCCCCTCCCTCTCCACTCCTTCCCCCACCCCCGCCCCTGAGGTATTGTGGAGGCTAAAAATAAATAACTTAGAACACCACAGGCAACAACTGATCAGGGAGATGGAGAGGAAAGAATGGATTTAGAAGATAATTAGTATATACAATCAATACACATGGATTATTGAATTTGAAGAGGTGAATGTTCATATTACAGGCTTAGAATGGAGATAAAATCCACTGAGAAAGGAATATGGGGAGAAGAGTAGATTTTGGTAGCTCAGTGGGTCAGGAATGGAGAGAGTATTATATTTTATAACTACAATGTGAAGCCTAATACATGGTCTAAAAGTCTGGTCTGTAGCTTTCATGCTGGTGCATCTCAGTGTCCAAGATCTTTGAACTTACCATATTTCCAAATCTCTTTACTTGATGTTCAGATATGAACTTATATAGACTCCTTCCCTGTATTAGGGAAGTTTTTGCTCAGCATGTTCATCCAACAAACATTAAGTATCTCTTAAGCAAACAAGTATAGTTCTGGCCTTCATCTATGTTATACACTAGTGGAGGAAAAAGACATTTATCAAATAAATAGGCAACTACAACTGTGGAAGTACTATAAAAGGTAAGTGTAGGTGCTACAAGAGTGTGTGAAAGCCGGGCTTGACCAAGTCTGCGGCCCTGATGTGTATGTTGGGCTAGTGGAAGGGGATTGTTACCTCTCAGAAAGGCTTTCCTGAAGAAATGAGATCTGAGCTGTTCCCTCTACCAGGCACCCTCTTCTGGTAAATTGGGATAGCTGGCTTTTTCTTGCTATTCTAGACTCCACTGATGTGGTACTTTCTCAGTAAGACATTTCTTGACCACATCCCAAATGAATGTTTAGCACATCACTCTTGTTTATTTCCTATAGAGCATTTATTTTTGTCTGAAATTATCTTGTTTAGGGACCTTGTCTCTTTTTCTTTTTCACCTGTGCCCCCACTGCTTAGAACATTTTCTGAAACGTAAGTGTTCAAGACATGATTAAATGTGAATAACCTTGGGTAATTGACCTGTTGCATGGTTGTTCTGTGTCCTCTATGTCTTCTTCTTTGAGTTTGGGAGGACTCCTCAGTTGGCCTTCTACTTGTTCACTTCTTTATTCTGTTGATTCTCCCCTCACCCTATGGTGTCTTTCTAATGGGGGGTCCAAGGGTAACATCCCACTCTCTGGCCATAATGGTGGGCATGTGACTTTCAGACTGGGCCAATCAGAATTATACTCTTGGATTTTTCAAATTTGAAGGAAGGAAGAGGGAAACTTCTCAGGTAGCAGACTATGAGTTGTCTGTGGCCATATTCACATCCAGATTGAAGAAGCCAATCTATAATAGGATAAAATGGAGGTATTACACAGAGAGAAGCAGTAATGGGGGAGGAGAAAATAGTCCTTCCTGGTAATTTTCTAGTCTGCTTCATTTGGACCTGAGGCAGTTGCAACTCCTGGCTTTTTCATGGACTTTGCCTTAGCCAGTTCAAATTGAGTTTCTGTCTCTTACAACCAAAGATTCCTACTTTAAAACAGTATATAACTTTATTTTTATTTTAACCTTCACCTCAACTAACAAGCTTTTCATCCTGATGTGTTTTATACAATGTCTTTGGATATTGATGTCTTGTATAGTTTAATTTCTTGTTGCAGAGAATTCATATTTTCTCCCTCTCTCTGTCTCTCTAGATCTCCCTCCCTCCCTTTTTCTTTCTCTTACCTTCTCTCCTTTCCCCCTTCCTCTTTTCTTTCTCTCTTTCAGATACAAAGCAGTTGCTGCCCAAGTTTCTTCTATTTCTAGTACTATTCCATTTTATTTAAAAAACATTTTTTTTTTTTACCTTGGCCCATTTGGCTTAGTGGTTAGAAGGTCGGCCCATGGACCAATGAATTGTGGGTTTGATTCTGGCCAAGGGTACATACCTTGGTTGCAGTTCATCCCCGGCCCTGGTTGGGTTGTGTGGGAGGCAGCCAGTCAGTGTGGCTCTATCACTTCGGTGTTTCTTTCTGTCTCTCTGTTTCTCCCTCCCTTCCACTCTCTCTGATGATAAATAGAAAAGTATCCTCGGGTGAGGTATAAAATTTTTTTTTTGTTTTCTTTTATTGATTTTAGAGAGGAAGGGAAAGAGAGAGAGAAATAGAAACATTGATGAGAGACAATATTGATGAGAGAGAACATTGATCAGCTGCCTCCTGCATGCCCCCCACTGGGGATCGGGCCCACAACCTGGGCATGTGTCCCAACCAGGAACCAAACTGCGACCTCTTGGTGCGTGGGTCGACAGTCAACCACTGAGCCACACTGGCTGGACAGTACTATTCTATTTTAGTACTGTGTCCTCTTTCCTTTATTTAAAAACATATTGGTTAGAAGTGATGTAGTTGCTATCTTATTTTTATTACTGTTATTATTTACTCATTCTTGAAGCAGGTTTATTGAGTTCTTGGATTTTTTTCACTTTCAACTTTGATGCTTTAGAACAGCCAGGTTTCTATTCTCCAGCATCTCAAGGATGGTGGGGAGGTAGCCAGGGCAGTGGGCAGCCTTGAGTGAGAAGTTCACATCTGGGTTATTTCTTCCAAGTTTTCTGTAAACTGTGACCTGACCATACCAATGCTGCAGATTGCTACCTCAGGGAGGAGCCTTGGTGTTTCAAAGAGAAGCCTTCCATTATTGCAGTTGGCTTTCTGCTCTATGTACCTACTTGTCCCTTTGAACAAATAGAGTTGCCCTCAAAACCCATCTATCCATTCCAACTCCAATTAGAATATTTCACATCTGTCCCTAACTTTTTCTAATTAGGGGTGTTGCAGGAAGTTATTTCAGGCCAAGCAACTTCCTCAGGCAGCTAGCTTGTAAGTTGGCACTCATCATCTTTCATCCATTTGTACTATGTCAAGGAGAAAATTGAGATTTTTGGTAATTTGCTCCTTTTATTGATTGAATCATTCAGTAAATATTTATTAAGCATCTGCCACATGCAAGCACTCTTCTAGATGCTGAAGATACTAGGTGAATGAGATTCTCTGCCCTCATAGAGCTTATATTCTAGGTGAGGAAACAAATAATAAACAAGTAAATAAATGTATAATGCAATATTAAGTAGTGATAAATGCCAAGGTGAAATATAAAGTAGTATAAGGGAATAGAGAGTGATGGGCTGAGGTTGTTTTACAGAGGATGAGCAGAGGGAAGGCTTCTCTGAGGAGATGACATTTGAGTAGAGACCTGAATGAATCAGGGAGCTCGCCATGCAGAGTTTCTGGCAGAAGCAACAGCCAGCACACAGCTCTGAGGAGATAAAGAGCATGGTGGGATTGTAGAATAAGGCAGCCACGGTGGCTAGAGTAGAAGGAATGAGGGGAAAAGTGGAAGGAGATGAGCTCCTGAAGTTAAGAATGGGAAAATGAGTTGTTCACTCTCCCACACCCAAACCAAGCTATGTCAGTTATTGGAGGGGGCAGAATGGGGGTGTGGGGGTGGTTAAGGTAGTGTCTGGTGTGTTGTTTAGTCCCCAAAGGCCAACGGTTACAGCAGGCTTCTGCCTATCATGTGACACTGAGTGGTAACCAAAATACTGTGGAATGTTTTGGTTACAATCTGCACGCTAATTATAGGAAATTAGGGTGTTTGGAATGATAAGGTTTGAATCAGTTATAAAAGAAGATTGAAAGGAAGAAATGACTAATATGTGAAATTAGGTAAAATAATCCTGGAAAAGATGGCAACTTGAGCAAAAGTCTTACACTATTTGTATCAATCCTTAATGAAATGACTGGTACTTAGAGAACATTGTTGGCCCCTCTTCTCTAAATATGGGTGGGCAAAAGTAGGTTTGCAATTGTAAGTATGTGAAACACAGTTTATTCTGTATTATTATTTATTATTGTGTTATTTTCCACACAAATAATTGTAAACCTACTTTTGCCCATCCCCGTATACCTTGAATTTGAGCATTTCAAATTACTTCCACTACTACTAAATTATAGTTGGAAACAGTCTGGCCAGTGTTGCTCAGTGGTTAGAGTGGCAGTTTGATTCTGGCAAGGGCATGTACCCAGGTTGCATGTTTCATTCCTGGCCCCAATTAGGGCAGGAGGCAACCAATTGATGTGTCTCTTTCACATTGATGTTTCTCTCTCTCTCCCCCCTTCCTTCCTCCCTCCCTTCCACTGTTTCTTAAAAAAAAAAAAAATCAATGGAAAAAATATCTTCAGGCAAGGATTAAAAAAGAATATTATAGTTGGAAACATTAACACTTAATTCATCACACTTGAAGCCCAAAATGAACATAATAGTGGATCTTTAGGGAGTTTTCAGCTTACTTCTGAAAGAAGGCTTGGAACGACATGAAATGTTAATATAAGTTGTTCCCAAGATTTGGAGAAGTAAGGAATTTCTTTGATCATTTCTCATGGAAGAGGATTGAGAATAATAATAATATTACCATATATTTGAAAGAATATACTTTTATATCTGTGAATTAGACTGAACAGATATCCTTATACTAATTTTCAGATAGGAAACTTGGGCCCAGACAGACCACCTGGTTCAGAGTCACACAGATGATTGAGTTAGAATTCAGGTCTTAGATTGTGCTCTGGCATTCTATTAATGGCATTAAGTTGATAGGAGTTTATGTCAAAGGAAAGCCAGTTGCCCTCCCTTCTCTTTTCCTACCCAGTTGAATCCCTCTAAGATAACATATATTAACAATGTTGTGGGTACACAGTTGGTTGTCTGCCTGCCCATCCATTATCTACCCATCTATCCATCCCTACATACATACATCCATGCACCCATCCATTTCTCTCTTCTGTATACAAACACTGGTTTAGCCCTGGCCAGTTTGGCTCAGCAGTTTGAGTGTTGGCCTGCGGACCAGAAAGATCCAGGTTTGGTTTCTGCTAAGGGCACATACCTCGGTTGCAGTTTGTCCTTGACCCCAGTTGGAGTTGTGTGGGTGTGCAACCAGTAGATGTGTCTCTCTCACATCGATGTTTCTCTCTCTCCCCCTCCCACTCTATCTGAAGATAAATGCAAAAACAAACAAACAAACAAACAAAACAAATACTGGTTTATTTTCCCCTATGCTTTACAGATTTAAATCATACTATGCCTATTATTTTAAATCTTTAGCCATATGTCATGTTCATTCATCTAGGTCAGTACATCTACATCTAATTCATTCCTCTTCTTTGTCTTTTTAATTTATTGCAGATTATGTAGTGCTTTTAAAAGTATATTTAAAGTGAAAAATGTAATGCCAGTGCATGATATAATTTCTCCATATATTCATTTACTTCTTGAAGTATAAGAAAAGGAATATATTTATTGATAATTTTAATGAAACTTAGATTTCCCTCTGTATTTGCAACAGGTTTTTTCACATGGCTCATATACTCATTTTTCCTAATTTTCTTTTGAATAAAAATTAACTGTAGCCTTAATATTTTTTTTTTAAGAAAATTCAATGTTTCTTTCAGGTCATTATATCCGGGAAAAGTCTAAGCAAGTCATAACATTGCTGATGGATGAGCAATTGCTGCATAAAGAGAGGGAAATAGCATGTCGGACTAGACGGCGTAGCTCCTACTCTGTGACATTTTCTAAAAGATTACCTCATACAGGTAACTTACCAACAGCCTGGGCTTCTGCCTCCACACCAGTTCCTGCTTCAGAGAAGAATTGTAAGCTTAAGGTAGCAAGCCTACATAAAAAAAGTACGTATTAATTATCACTAGCCCAAAAAGCAATAGATATTTAAGAACTACTAAAAAATAGAAAACATAGCTTTTACTACTAACATGTTAATATTATACTAGTTCTAATATTACTATATTAGACATCACTCTATAGAGAACAAAGATGAAGAATAATATTCAGTAGAAAAATTTATGGCTATTTTTTGAATATAGTTATCTGGGATTCAAATAAAATGATTTTGAGCTTAAAAGGAATTAAACAAGTGACTACCCTGTTTTGCTTCCTGATTGATTTTTAAAATTTTAATCATAACTGGAATGTGAAAGAGAACTGTTTTCTGAAACTAGGATCTGGGTATGTGTGCATTTTTGCTATTTAATCCTACAAATCAGGAAACGGACATTTTCTTAAATATACCTCAAAATAGTTAAATTGCTCTAAAACTCTTCTAGGACAATGCCTTGTGTTATATAACACTTTTTTTTTTTTTTTTTTTTTGCCTAAAACGTTAATTCTAGACTACTAAACTTTTTTAAAGAAAGGATTTATTTAGCCCGGCCAGTGTGGCTCAGTGGATTGAGCATCGTCCCATGGACTGAGAGGGCCCAGTTCAATTCCTGGTCAGGTCACATGCATGGGTTGCGGGCTCCGTCCCCGGTGTTGGGCATGCAGGAGGCAGCTGATCAATGTTTCTCTCTCACATTGATGTTTCTAGCTCTCTCTTCCTTCCTCTCTAAAACAAATCAATAAAATATATTTGAGAAAAAAGGATTTATTTATAATGTCATAATAGAATCAGCAGGAAAATGAAACCTTTTCTACCAAATTTGTTAAAACATAAAGGATTGTCATTTTGCCTTAACTTCTCCAGTACAAACCCTGTTTTGATAAGCTGTGTTTAAGGAATGGACAAGTTGAGGAAAAAGAAACATTAATGAAATGTGACTTATATAACTATCCCTTGAAAGGAACTAAACTTGGTGCCATAAATGAGAGGCATAGTAGAAGTAACATATAGTTAGTTACAGGTATTTTCAGAGGCTTGTCTCTAGTTTTATGTAAATCTGTTCATCATAATCCTGAAAGAGATGCAGGTATTCAATATGAATAAACATTCTAAATATCAGCTAAGTATGAAAATGTAGAAATGTTAATAATATCAACACAAACTAATTCTACTAGAAATCATTAAAGTATTTATCTGACTCAGTCAGGAGTTCTCAATCTGTACTTGTGTGGACTGGGGAGATGGAAATACAGCAAAGAGGTGGCCATTGCAATTAGAATAGTAAATACCACCCAAATGCTTCTGAAAGATAATGGAACCTCTTTCTTTATGGTACCCACTCCTTTGAAATAAATCTCCAAAAGAGACATAGACCCATTTTGAAATTTTCTCACAGAAGCCTTGAATTCAAACTGATGCTAAAAAGGAGTAACAGGAAAAAAATGAACACATGGGACTACATCAAACTAAAAACCTTCTGCACAGCAAAAGAAACAATCATCAAAATGGAAAGGCAACCCGCTGTATGGGAGAACACCATTGCCAATGACATATCAGAAAAGGGGATAATTTCCAATATATATAGAGTGCTCATACAACTCAACAAAAGGAAGACAAAGAACCCAATTAAGAAATGGGCAGAGGAACTGAATAGACACCTCTCCAAACAGGACATACAAATGGCCAAGAGACATATGAAGAAATGCTCATCATCACTAATCATCAGAGAGATGCAAATTAAAACAACAATGAGGTATCACCTCACACCTGTCAGAACGGCCGCCATCAACAAATCATCAAACAACAAGTGTTGACGAGGGTGTGGAGAAAAGGGGACTCTAGTACACTGCTGGTGGGAATTGCAGACTGGTGCAGCCACTATGGAAAACAATATGGTGTTACCTCAAAAAATTAAAAATTGAACTTCCATTTGACCCAGTGATCCCACTTCTAGGAATATACCCTAAGAAGCCTAAAACACCAATCAGGAAGAATATATGTACCCCCATGTTCATAGCAGCACTATTAACAATAGCTAAGATCTGGAAACAGCCCAAGTGTCCATCAGTAGACAAATGGATAAAAAAGCAGTGGTACATATACACAATGGAGTACTATGCAGCTATAAGAAAGAAAGATCTCTTGTCCTTTGAGACGACGTGGAGGGACATGGAAAGTATTATCCTAAGTGAAATAAGCCAAGCAGAAAAAGACAAATATCACATGATCTCACTTATTTGTGGGATATAATGAACATAACAGTCTGAGGAATAGGGTAGACCCAGAAGTAGGGCACAGACTGATATCCCTCAGAAGAGGGGGTTGGGGGTAGGAAGAGATAAACCACAGAACTTATATGCACGTATGCATGTATGCATAACCAATGGACATATACAACAAAGCCGGGGATGGGGCGGGGGCGGGGGATGGAGAGGAGGGTGTCAATGGGGTAAAAAAGGAGAAACATCTGTAACAAAAAAAAAATAAAAAATTAAAAAAAATTAAAATAAAAAAAATGAAAAGGAGTAACAGTAAAACAACCAATTATGGCTCATCCGGCGTTTCTTCACTCCTTTTGCTATTTCTGTTACCTTTTTTTTAAAAATGATTCTTAAAAATTATTTTTTTATTGATTTTTTTTTTTTAGAGAGAGAGGAAGGGAAAGGGAGAGAGAGATAGAAACATCGATGAGAGAGAACGAGAACATTGATTGGCCACCTCCTGCATGCTCCCCTACTGGGGATTTGGCCCACAACCTGGGCATGTGTTCTGACTGAGAATTGAACCCGCAATCTCTTGGTGCATGAGCCGACACTCAACCACCGAGTTATCCCAACCGGGCTCTGTTACCTTTCTTACTCTTCCTTCCTTCATTTCTTTTCTCTCTTCTTCTCTTCTCTTCTCTTTTGTTATAAACATATATATTCATTGAATGTATTATTTGAAATTTTAATATCTAACTGAAATTTGGAGCTATAGCACTGAATAAAGTCCCTCTCATCCTGGAGCAAATATTCTAGTGACAGAGACAGATATTAAAGACACATAAACAAAATAGATATAAAACTTAGGTCAGATAGTGAAATGGCAATTCCTATTTAAAAAAGAAAAAAAGGAAAGCAGTGTCAGGGGACAGAGAGGGACAGGAATGGCTTTAGGTCAGGTAGCAATAGAAGGCCTTTTGAAGGAGGTGAATATTTAAAGGGAGACCTGAATGAAGCAAAGGAGTAATCCTTGTAATAGCTGGGGTGTTCCAGGCAGAGGGAACAGCAGGTGTGAATGCTCTGGAACTGGATGGAGCAAGCTTAACATCCTTAACTATAAGTTTAGGAAATGAGGCCCTGAACTGCTACCAAACTGGCTCATCACTGAGCCCTTTTATGATTCATATAAGGAAATCTAGTTTATTGTTTTATAGTCACTGCTTTTTTTTAAAACCCAAAATGATATTCCCAGCTTTATGATACATCTTATTCATTAAACTGAGCTCTGAATGACTTTCAACTCTTTAAAAAAATCAGCCTACCTTAAAATGAAGAAGTTTTGCTACAATTTAGTGTTTTTATTCCACAAACATGTATTGAGTGCCTACTTACTATATGCTAGATACTGTTTTAGGCCTGGTAGGCAGATTGGGTATATTTACACTCTTGTAGATGTTATATCAAGTGATGAGCTTTCAGTCTGTTTTTTTGTTTTTGTTTTTTTTTAATATGTACAAAAAGGGTCTTGGTGAATGATGGCATCATTAAAATGAATCTGTAGTAAGAGTACTACTTAAAGTAAATAGAGAAGGTTTGGGTATAAAAGCTGTAGTAAGTTTGTTAAAAATCTGTTATTTTATTTTATTTTACAGTTTTATTTGTCCATATAGATATGTGTGTTTTTGTTCAAAGAAGAGTAATTGAATAAGCTTAGCAATATTAACCATTTCCAAGTAGGATTCCATGTTTGAATTTGAAACTGTATTTTAAAGGAAGAAAGACTGATCTGGCTCTCCATGATGTCTCCATGATGTTCAGAGTGACCCAGGGTCCTTTCTGTCTTATTGCTCCACCAAACTCAGCATGTAATTTCCATTTCATGATCCAAGATAGCTGCTTGAGCTCCAGCCATCACATCTGCAATCTAGCTAGTAGAAAGGAGAAAAGGTTGAAATAAAATTGCTCCTTCTTTTTAAGAACACTTATTACAAGGTTGCTCATGACATTTTGGTTTACATATTTTGTTTAGCACTTAGTTACATGGACATTTTTAGCTGCAAGAGAGGCTGAGAAACGTAATCTTTATACTGGACAGATATGTACCCAGATGAAAGCTGGATAATTTATTGTTAAAGAAGAAGGAAAGAATAAATAAATATAAAGGAAAACAAATAGTCTCTACCGTAGTGGGAAATAATACAAATAAGAAATGAATTAATCATAGTAATACATGGTTGTCAGATGACATAAAATAGAGAATATAGATTTGAATATGTAGGTAAATGTGAGCAGATAGTTGAGAGTACTCATCACAGTTCATTAAGAACATAATGAACAGTATTTGGAAATTTCAATTTGATATAACTGGCAACTAGGAACCATTGTAGGCCTTGGAGAACAGAAGGGATGTTTACCTTAGTCACAGAACTTAGCTTTCTTATTACTGAAAACAGCTGTTGATGGAAGATAATACAAATTGCTTGGTATAGAAGTGAAGGAGAAACAAATTGGAGGGAGGTTTGTAAGAGACAGTAGTTTCAATCCAAGCATCTAAGACCTGCTCTGGGGCTATTGGTATGAGGGAACGGTAATGTTTAAAGATAGACTATAGAGAGGAAATGGGGTAAGTAGATGATGTATTGAAGAAGAATGAAATTGAAAACGACTCTAACATTTGTGTTAGAGAAAATGGAGGCAAGTGATGGTATCATAC